TGTCTTGGATGCGGTCGCTGAGGTGGGGGTGGCTCGGTGTAGTTCCCAGCCTTAAGACTGCTCACCTGTCTTCTAGCTTCTAGATCACAGCTGCAGATACGTGGCAACCCAAGAAGCAATTAGCAGCTGGGTTTTTTCCTCTTCTTTTTCTTTTCTTCTCAGCCTTCTCTCACAGACATGGATGCTCCCCAGTGAGACCAGCTCTGGTTCCCTAACGCCTGAGGAGCGGAACCGGGTCAAGAGCCCAGCAGCCCTGTGGCTTCAGCCCTGGTCATCGCCTTTCCATTTCTCGTACATTTCTGGTTTGTGGAGGTTTTTACCTTGTTTGTGAGGCCGGCGATGTCTCTTACTGCTGTGTGTTTGGAGCGGAGCACAGGGGTACTTTGAAGCATGAACTGACTGTGCCAACTTGACTGAAGGTTTTTTTAACTTGAAAATGATGCTGTTGGGGATATTGCTCCCCTCCCTCCCCACCCTACCCTCGCGCTAACCTGCAGAGACATTGTGGAGGATACAGGATAAGGGAGACTTGAGATAAGTAAATAATTCAGAACACCGCAGGCAAGAAAAGAGCCACGCCTGAACTAAACTAAGGGAGATGGAGTGGAGAGGACGGATGTAGAAGATGCTAGTTGGTCCCATCAGCAGACATGGGTTCCTGAGTGTGGGAGGTGAATATTCACATTTTGGGTTTAGAATGGACGTAAAATTCATTGAGAAAGCAATCTAAGAAGAAGAGTAGGGGTGCCTGGTGGCTCAGTGGGTTAAAGCCTCTGCCTTCGGCTCAGGTCATGATCTCAGGGTCCTGGGATCGAGCCCCGCATCGGGCTCTCTGCTCAGCAGGGAACCTGCTTCCCTCTCTCTATCTGCCTACCTCTCTGCCTACTTGTGATCTCTGTCAAATAAATAAATAAATAAAATCTTCAAAAAAAAGGAAGAGTAAATTTTGGTTGGTTAGTGGGTCAGGTATGGAGGGTGGGGAGGTAAGATATTTTATGACCACAGTTTTAGGCGTAATACATGTTTTTCTAGAAGTCTGCTGTGTGCCTTTGCTGCCGTCACATCTCATTGCCCAACATCTCTGCATTTACTGTATTTCCAGATCCCTTTACATGCTGCTCATTTGTGTGTTTACAGGCGCACTTCCTCCGCATTTGGGACATTTTTTTCTCAGCATGTTCCTTCATTTATTTAATAGACATTTCCGAAGTAACCCTTAAGCAGGTATAATTCTGGCCTTCATGGATGTTATGCTATAGTGGAAGAAAAAGACACTTATCAAATCAATAAGAATTGCAGCATGTGGAAGTGCTGTACGAGAGCAGGGCAGGGGCTGGAGAGTGTGCAGGGCAAGTGGGGAGGGGCTTGTGATCCCTCAGCAGGAGGTGAGGTGAAGTCCGAGCTGTTCCCTCTGCCTGAAGGGCTGCAGGCCTGGCCTTTTCTTACTGAGCAAGATGCCTGTGATCCGACTGTCCTTCCCTGCACCACAGCTCGGTGTTTAGCTCCTTACTGTGCTTTATTTCCTTCAGAGCATTTATTTGTATCTGAAATTTTCTTGTTTGGGGATCTTGTCTTTTTTTCTCTCACTCATGTTTCTAGAACAATTCCTGAAACTTAAGTGTTGAAAAAATGATCAAATGACCGCCGAGGTGAATAAGTGCTTTTCCTTGGCTATTGGTTTGGCACAGAGTTGCTCTAGTGATTTGCATGTCCCGGTCCTTTGTGTGAGTTTGAGAAGCCTCCTCAGGTTGGCTTTCTGTTCGTTCATTTTTCTGTCCTCTTGACTGTCCCCTCAGTCCACTGGGCCCTTCTGATGGCTGTTGCCCGTGGGAGCATGCCACCCTCTGGCCAAGGGGACAGGCATGTGACTTTCAAGCTGAGCCAAGCCGAGTCATTCTCCTGGGTTTTTCCAATTTGAGTGAAGGAAGAGGGAGGCTTCTCAGGTGGCAGATTGTGAAGCATGAACCTGGAACTCTCTGTGGCCATGTCCACATTCAGATGGAGGAAGCTGGTCTGCAAGAGGAGAAAAGGAAAGCATTATGCAGAGGGAGGAAGGGACAGGGGAGGGAAAAGCAGTCCTGGGCGTTCTCCAGTCTCTGCCTCTTTACTTGAAGCCCAGTTGCAGCCCCTGGTTTTCCCATGGCCTGTTCAGTTTGAGTTTCTGTCACTTATAACCCAAAGATCCCCGATTTCCTTACTAAAATAGAATATAGCTTTATTTTTACTTTACCCTTCATGTCAATAACAAGCTTTACATCTTGGTGTATCTTTGGGTATTGATCTGTTTCATAGTTTGACTTCTCATTTCAGAGACTCCATGTCTCCCTCTCTTTGTCGATCTTTCTCCCTCTCCCTCCCACCATCTCCCCCCACCCCCATCTCTTTCTCTCTTTCAGACACAGAGCCGTGACCTCCTACATGTGTTCTATTCCACAATTCCGTTCTAGTGCTAGGTCCCTCCTTTCCTTTCAGAAACATATTGCTTAGCAGCGAGGAGATACCATCTTTTTGGTACTAGTTGTTATTTTTTACTAATCCTTGAAGCACATTTATTGGGGTTTTGGATTTTTTTCACTTTCAACTTTGGTGCTTTAGAACAGCTGGGTTTCTTCTCTGCAGCATCTCAGTGGTGGTGGGGGGTAGCCATGGCCATGCACAGCCTTGAGCCCAAAGCAAACCATTGTGGCAGGCTGTCACCTGCTCCCTCAGGGAGAAGCCTCATGTTTCAGGGAGAAGTGCTTCGTCATTGTGGCTGGCTTTCTGCTTGATGTACCTGCTTGGACCTTTGAACTTTTGTAGCTGCTTTCAAGTCCCACCAGTTCATGCAGACTCTGACTGAAATAATCCACATCTGTCCCATAATTTCTAGTTCTGACCTCTTGTAATTAAGGTTGTTGCAAGAAACTCTTTCAGGCCAGGCAACTTTCTCAGGCAGCTACACTGTAAATTGGCACTCGATACCTTTCATCCATCTGGTTCCATTTGCGTTATGTCAGGGAGAAAATGGAGACTTTTTGGTAATTTGTTCCTTTATCCATTTATTGACTCAGTAAAGATTTATTGAGTAGCTCCTATGTGCCAGTCATTCTCCCAGACACTGGAGATACTGGGTGAATGAGGCTCTCTGCCCTCATGGAGCTTGTAGGTGAGGAAACAAACAGTAAACAAGTAAATAAATTTGTATATATTATTGTGTGTGTGTGTGTGTATAAAATTATTATTATGTGTATATACAAACATATATATTTATATACCCACACACAACAATAGCAGGTAGTGATAAAATGGGTAAGGGAATAGAGAGTGATGGGAATGGGGCTATTTTGGATAGGGTGGGCAGAAGTGAGGCTTCTCTGAGGAGGTGACATTTGAGTAGAGACTTGAATGAATTAGGGACCTAGCCATGCAGAGTCCCTGGCAGAAGCAACAGCTAACACACAGCTTGAAGGAGACAGAGAGCCTGGTGTGACAGCAGAATAAGGTAGTCTGGGTGGTTCAGGTGGAGGGAGAGAGAGGAAGCAAAAAGATGAGTTTTTGTGAAGTTAGAAATGGAAAAACAAGTTTTCCTCCCCTTCCCCCAAACTAAGCTACTAAGCAGTTTTCAAGGGAGTAGTGGTGTCTGGCACGTTGTCCCCAAGGGCTGACAGTCACAGCAGGCTTCTATCAGGTGACAAGGAGTGGTAACCCAAAACCCTGCAGGATTTTTTGTTTATGGACTACAGATTACTCAAAGGAAGTTAAGGGTGTCAAGAAGGATACTCTTCACAGCAGTTATAAAGGAAGTTTGGAAGGAGGAAGTGACTGAGAAATGAGACTGAGAGTAGATAAAATAATCTTGGGAAAGATGGCAACTTAAGCAAAGGTTTCTAACACTGTCATAGCAGTCCTTAATGAAATGACTGGCGGAGAACATGTTGGCCTCTTTTGTCAAAAGCACCCTCCATTTGACCATTTCTCATTTCTTCCCCTGCTGGTAAGTTATAGTTGGATATATTAATATTTCAATTCACCATGCTTAGAGCCCAAAATGAACATAGTAGTGGGTCTTTAAGGACTTGTCATTTTACTCCTGGAGGAAGGCTTGGGAAAACATGAGGTGTTATATTATGAGTTGGTCCGAGATGTGGAGAGGGAAGTGGTTTTCCGTTATCATTTTTCATGGGAAGGGATTGAGATTAGTAATAATAATACTATATATTTGAATGAGTATTCTTTTGTATCTGTGATTTACACTGAACAGATATGCTTCTACTGGTTTTCACATCGAAAACTCAAGCCCAGACAGACCACCTAACATATCAGAGTCTCACAGTTGGTTAAGGACAGTATTGTCATTAGGATTCTGGTCTTAGACTGTGCTCTGGCACTCTATTAATGGCATCAAGTTGTTTTAATAAGACGTTATGTCAAAGAAAATCTAATTGTCCTCCCTACTCTTGTCCCACCCTAATGTCCTCCTTTAAGGTAGCCGATATTAACAATGCGTGGGGACACCGCTGGCCATCTGCCTGCCTATCCATCATCCATCCACCCATCCACGCGTGTATTTCTCTATCTACTTCTCTCTCCTGTATACATATATAATGATTGATTTTCCCGTGTGCTTTACTGATTTGACTCATAACCATACATATTACTTTAAATCTTTAGCCAATGTCATTGTCCTATATCTCGATCTAATTCATTCCTCTTCTTTTATGCCTACATTGTTTGATTTATTGCAGAGAATGTATTGTTTTTAAAAGGAAATACATTGAGAGTGAAAAATGTCATGTCAATAAGTGATAGGATTTCATCACGCATTTAGGTACTTCCTAAGGTATAAGAAAAGGAGTACTTACTGACAACTCCAATGAAACTTAGATTTCCCTTTGACTTGTTACAGATTTTTTCTGCTTTGCTACACTGTTTACATTTTCCCCTAATTTTCTTTAGAATAGAAATTAATTGTAACTTCAGTGAATATTTTCTTACTTACACAAATTCAATATATTTTTCAGGGTATTATATCCGGGAGAAGTCTAAGCAAGTCCTAACATTGCTGATGGATGAACAGTTGCTGCACAGAGAGAGGGAAGTAGCATGTCGGACAAGACGGCGTACCTCCTACTCCATGACATTTCCTAAAAGATTACCTGGTACAGCTAACTCACCAACAGCATGTGCTTCCGCCCACACGCCAGAAAATCCTGCCTCAGAGAAGAAACCTAAGCTTCTTAAGGTTGCAAGGCTACGTAATAAAAGTACGTATACTGAACACAGACCTACAATGTAGTAGGTATCATTTAAGAACAATTAAAAAAATATAAAACATTAGGTTTTCATACTGAAATATTAATGCTATATTAGTACTCTTTTTTTTTTAAGATTTTATTTATTTATTTGAGAGAGAGGCAGTGAGAGAGAGCATGAGCGAGGAGAAGGTCAGAGGGAGAAGCGGACTCCCCATGGAGCTGGGAGCCCGATGCGGGACTCGATCCCGCGACTCCGGGATCATGACCTGAGCCGAAGGCAGTCGTCCAACCAACTGAGCCACCCAGGCATCCCTATATTAGTACTCTTATTACTATGTTAGACATTGCACTGTACAAAACAGAGATGAAGAGTAATAGTAGAAAATCTTGTGATTATTTTTGGAATACAGGTTATCTGGGTTTCCAAAAAAGTGGGATTTTTGAGCTTAAATGGTATTAAAGTAGTGATGCTTACTTGGCATCATGATTCATTTTAAGATTCTCATCATAACTAGAATGTGAGACTCCGGGTCTGGGTATCTGTGCATTTTGTGCTGTTTGATCCTACATTTGCTTAAAGGTGCCTCAGAATTCCGAAAGTCTCTAAAACTCCTGCAGGATGACAGTGCCTCATAGTACATACATTTTAAATATGAACTGAACTTTTTTAAAAAGGGATTTCTTTGTAGCGTTACAGAAATCAGTGAGGAGATACAATTATCTTTCCTATTAAATTTGCTAAAAAGTAGAGGAATGTCAACGGGCTCTGTCTTCTCTGGTACGGATCCTGTTGTGAAGTTTTGTATGAGGAATGGACAGTTTGAGGAAGCAAAAAACATTAAAGAAATGTGACTTGGATCCTTGTCCCTTGAAAGGAACTAAACCTCATGCTGTAAGTGAGGGACACAGCAGGAGTAATGTAGAGTTAAAAGTATTTTCAGAGGCTGGCCTGATAGCTTTACCCTGCAACTCTATTAAGATCCTGAAAGAGCTACAGGTGTTCAGTTCGACCAGATGTTCCAAATGTCAGTTAAATCTGGAAATTAAGAATGTTCATAGTAATATCAACGTGGAACAATCCTACTAAAAATCACTAAAGTACTTTTCTGACTCAGTCAGAGGTTCTCAAATGTTCTCTCACTTTGTGCTTGTGTGGACTGCGGAGCTGGAAAGACAGTAAAAGACAGTAAATGCCATCTCCATGCTTCTAAATGTCGTGGAACCTCTTTCTTGAGGGCGGACATTTTATTTTGAAATAAATCAGGAACGATAAGAGACCCATTCTGAAATTTTCTCACAGAAGCCTTCAGTTCAAACCACTACAGAAAAGGGTTACAGAGTAAAATCACCAACTATTAACTGGCCCAGAGTTTCTTTACTCCTTTTGCAACTGCTCTGTTGCCTTTCTTATTCTCCCTCCATTGCTTTTCTCTCTTCCTTTCTCTTTCATTATAAACTTTATATTTATGGAATTTATTTGAAGTTTGAATTTATTTGAAGGTATCGAGCAGAAATTTGGAGCTATAACAGTGAGTAGACCATAGTCCCTTTCATCATGGAGCAAATATTCTAGGGATGAGACATATAGTAACCACACATGAACAAAATAGATATAAAATATTATGCTAGGGACAAGTCCTATAAAGAAAAGGAAAGCAGTGTTAGGGGACAGAGAGTGACAGGGATGGCTTTAGTTTAGGTCAGGAGTGAGGGAAGGCCTTTTGGAGGAGGAGACCCAAATGAAGTGAGGGGACAATCCATGTGTATCTGGGGTGTTCCAGGCAAAGGAAACTTCAGGTATAATCTGGGGCGAGCTTGGTGAACTTACTGTAAACTTAGGAAATGAATCTTTAAATTGCCAAAGAAGTAGCTTAGCTCTGAGCCATTTTTATGATTCATACAAGGAAATTGAGTTTATTGCTTTATAGTCACTGCTTTTTTTTTTTTAACCCCAAATGATATTCTCTAGCTTTATGACACATCTTGTTCACTAAACTGAGCTTGGAATGACCTTTGACTACTTTTAAAAAGTCAGTCTACCTTCAAATGAAGTTTTGCTGCAGTTATTTTTTTTTTCATATTACGAACATGTATTGAATACTTATTATATGCCAGACACTGTTCCAGGACTGGTAACCAAATTGGATGTATTTCTGCTCTCTTAGAAGTTATTGGGGCTCCTGGGTGGCTCAGTGGGTTAAGCCTCTGCCTTCAGTTCGGGTCATGATCTCAGGGTCCTGGGATCGAGGCCCGCATCGGGCTTTCTGCTCAGCGGGGAGCCTGCTTCCTCCTCTCTCTCTGCCTGCCTCTCTGCCTACTTGTGATCTCTCTGTCCAATAAATAAATAAAACCTTTAAAAAAAAAAAACTTAGTGTGTTAAAAATCTGTTAAATTATTTAAAAACTTCACTTATCTACCACTATGCGTAGATACACATAAACATACTAGATACATAGATGTGTGTGTTTGTATTCAAAAAAGAGTAATTGTATTAAGCTTAGCAAATTAACTGTTTCCACATGGGCATTTGAATATGAAGCTTTTTTTTTTTTTTAAGATTTACTTATTTATTTTAGAGAGAGAGTGTGAGTATGAACACAGGGGGAGGGCCAGAAGGTGAGAGTCTTCAAGCAGACTCCCCGCTGAGCACGGAGCCCGACATGGGGCTGGATTTCACAACCCATGAGATTATGACCTGAGCTGCAACCAAGAGTTAAGTGTTCAGCTGACTCAGCCACCGAGGCTCCCCAGAAGCTGTATTTTAAAAGAAGAAAGGAAACTGACAATTTGGTGTATATGTTTTGGGGGTGCTGAGGGAGATAAGAAAAATGAATTCGGGGAGCATTAATAGTGGGACAGAAGTAGCAGATGAAAACTCAGAGATAGGTGAGTCAGTTAGAATTCAGTGTTCTCAGAAGTGATAGTAGAAGAGGCCACCAAAAATGTTAACAGCTTACACAAAATGGGATTTTTTTCTCTCTTCTAAAAATAATCCAGAACTAGATATTCTAGGACTGATATGGTTCTTCGTGATGTCAGGGACCCAGGGGTCTTTCTGTCTTGTTGCTCCAGAGAGACTGAAAAATGTAATTTTTATCCTGGACAGCCATGTGCCCCAATTAAAGTTAGAGGATCTATCATTAAGGAAGGAGAGAATAAATACATGGGAAATTCAATAGTCCCTACTGTAGTGGTAAAGAAGAGAAGAAACTAATTAATCATGTTAATGCATGGTTGTCAGACTAAATGGAATAGAAAACATAAATTTGAATATGTTGAAAATGTGGACAGGTCATTGAGAGTTTATAAAGGACATAACGAAGAGTATTTGGAGATTTCACTTCGGTACCACCAGCAACTAGGAACCACTGTAGGCCTTGGAGAACAGAAGGGGTGTTTAGCTTAGTCACAGAACTTTGCTTTCTTATTACTGAAACAGCTGTTGGTGGAAGATAATTCTTATTGCTTTGTGTAGAAATGAAGGCCATACGAATTGGAGAGAAGCTCTGTTAAGAGACAGTTGTTTTCAATCCAGCATCCTGCTCTAGGGTTATTGAAATGAGGGAAAGGTAATGTGTAAAGATAGAATATAGAGAGGAAATGGGGTAAGCGGATGATGTATTGGAGAAGAAAGAGAAATTGAAAGCGACTAACATTTCAGTTAGAGAGGCAAGTGATGGTATTACACAGGTGCATTTCCATCAGGAGGTATTTAAAGACATCTCTAAATTATTTAGTTATATTGAAATGTAAAGTTGAATCATTGCTAGAAATCTGATTCCCAGGCTTTAGGATCTAGAGCTGAAACAGCTGTGCCTAGCTTCTTTGTGGTAAATTAGCAAGGGGAAATAGGTACTTTGGAGAAGGTGTTATGCACACATTACTACCTCTATCCCCTTTTTTTCTATTCCTACATGTTTTCTCCAAGTTTTAATTGTGGTAGGTGGCTTGGAAAGTTTTTGTTTAGGTAATTTTATTGCTTGAAGGAAGAGATGGACTGAATGATAATTATTGTTTGATGTACATGTACTCTTACTACAAATTCATCTCCATGATGCCATCATTCACCAAAACTCCCTTTGAACATCTTTTTTAAAAAACAGACTGAAAGCTATCACTGGGCGTAACCTCCAAGAGAACAGAAATACAAGAAAAACCCTATGTGCACAGTTACAACTCTTGCTTCTCTGAGCTGTAAGCATCAGTGTCATGCCCTTACCTTAGAGGTGATAACTATAAAAAGCTATCACCAGAGACACTGCTTACAACCAGACCAGCAAAGCATTAATTACCTCTGTTGGTCATCTGATCTTCCATAAAAAGCTTCCATTTCCACACTGGTGTTACACTTTGCAATGGAACTTTACTTGTATTAGAGAAGGATTACTTTGGTCTATGTTAAATGTAGTAGCACTCTATGTCATAGAAATGTTTCCCTAAAAATCATGTATATTTCCTGTTGGACCAAAAGTAAAACTTCAAAGTAGTTGTTATGATTTTATAAGCACAAACTCCAGTGTTAATGTTAACTTCCTACGGTGAACCTTGTACTAACAGAGTTGATGTGGAGTCATACTTGGTGACCCTATCACCCACAGTCTAGATGGCAGGGCTTATGGTACAAATGGCAGTTCCTACTAAAACAGCTGCACTGATGAATGTCAAGCAGTGATTTTTTTCAACTTAAACAAGTGTACGATAAAGAAAATAACAAAACAACAGTAGCTTCCATCTCTATCACCCTAACCCAACTGCCATTAACACCTTAGAATACTCACTTCCAGTCTGGTTCTTTTCCTTCTTCTTTTTATTTTATTTTTAAGTTATCTCTACACCAAATGGGGGGCCCAGACTCACAACCCCAAGATCAAGAGATCAAGAGTCACGTGCTTTACCAACTGAGCCAGCCAAGTGCCCTTATTTTCTTTCTTTTATCTTTGTTTCAGAAAAAAAATCACTCTATTCTTGTAAAAACAATACAGGCTCAAAAACACTAATGAATCAATATT